ATACAAATAAGTGAAGTCAGAGAGTAAAGAAATTGTATTTCTCTCTCTGCACAGTTTTATAATAAATATCTGTCCTTCACTGTACTTGCATTTATTGTCCTTAGATAGGAATTTTGTTTCCTATTAGAAACAATTTGCATGCTATTAATATTTGTATAGAATGTTACATGTTTCAAATCCATTTAAATCATTCTCACAAGCTTACTTTTAGAGGTGTCTTAGAGTTCAAAACCACCAAGATGACTTAATCTGCCTTCTTTTTGCATCCAGGTAGCAAACAAACCAATGAAATAAATACAAAATATCCCCAATTTGTGATACACTGGAGCTGTCACTACATTAAAAATAATGTTTTGCATGGCATTTAGTGGGATACATTTACTTCTTCAACAATTTTTTGAGATCTTCCTCTGCACAGTATTTATCTTTTAGATATTAATATTTGTTGTATTAAACACCATATTGTTGTTTTTGTTAAGTGCTGCTGAATCAGTTCTGATTCACAGTGACCCTGTATAGGGTTTCCACAGAGCAGTTGGTCAGCCTGAACCACCGACCTTGTGGTACAAACCGACTTTGCAGTCCAGCGCATTAACCCACAGCACCACAATTCAATTGTAAAGCCACTGTCTTGAATGTGATCAAAGTTCAAGGGAACTTTAAGATATGGCCAAGCACCTAGTCATAACAAAAGGGTCTAGCACTTGCACTGGTTTAATAACATTCATTAATAGAAAGATATTTCTAGGTGATTACTTTTAGATTCATGGAATCTAGTTTGAAAATAGACAAGTAAAGGATATCAATCACATAGTTTCTTACTCTTTTCATATTTAGCCTTCAACTGGAGGTTAGAAGTTAAAGGATCAGCAGAAAAAACCCCCACAAAATACTCTAAGCTTTCTATGTCCTCATAACATAAAACATTTTTGCACACTCTAGGACTTTTATAAGGAGCTCTGGTAGCGGAGTGGTTACGAATCGGGCTGCGAACCACAAGTTCAGCAGTTCGAAACTACCAGCTGTTCCGCGGGAGAAAAGATGAGGCTTTCTGCTCCCGTAAAGATTTACAGCCTCGGAAACCCTGTACAGGGTCGCTATGAGTCAGAATCGACTCCACGGCACATAACAGGACTTTTATAGTAAATATAATATTTTGAAGCTGTTAAATGACCAATACCACATCTGTTGCCATCAATTTCAATTCTTAGACTCTCTACAAGACAGAGTAGAACTGTCCCATAGAGTTTCCAACCCTGTAAATCTTCATGGAGACAGACTGCCTCATCTGTCTCCTGCAGAGTGGCTGATGGGATAGAACCAATGACCTAACAATTATCTGAGCACTTAACCACTGTACCATCAGGGCTCCTTTTAAAGCTGATAATGGTTTTCCAATAAGATACATTATTTCCAGCTTCTACTTCATGTTGTGAAATTGATGATTGCCATAAAATATATGCTTGTCATGTCTTTCTTTCAAAGACTGTTGGGTATGGGTAATTCAGTGTATATTATCACCAATATAGGTTATAATAATTAACATTTAACTATACCATTGAATAATAAGTTTTAGATAATTTGAAATTAAAATGTAAACAATATTCAAAGTTGTTCTCTTTTTATATTCACAGTTTATACCCTGGCATAATTAATTATTTTCATAACCATCAGAAAACAAACTTTGTTGATACGTTAAAAGAATTTCAATCCACAAGATTTATTGAGAGACTTTTACCATTTTGAGTGTAACATTTCACTTAGAATGTAGTAAAAGTTAATTTCTTTCCACTAAAACTCAGTTCCTGAAATATTTAAACCAGAAAAATACTAACAATTTTGACATTCTATTTACCATGCATCTTTTCAAAAGTAAAAATGCTTTCAAATAAAGTGTGCTATTTTACAGGCCTTATTAATGCTAAAATGACAGTCACATTTAAAGGAACTGAGACACATTTCTTTGACACAGTGATGAAAAAGAAAAGTGATGAATTAAGAGAGATGTATTTATTAAATTCTAATCTTGGCTATGTCACTAATTGTGTTGTATGTGAATATGTGTCTTAAAAATAGGATCTCTGGATGTAGTTAATTCATGAGTAGAATGAAGGGATTCATCTATCAATCCTGTACAGGGTCACTATGAGTCAAAACCGACTCAACGGCACATAACAATTCCCATCAGGAGTTATTGTGTAGTACTATAGGGAAAGCACTGGACAGTTAAATGAAAGGTTGACAGTTCAAACCCACCAGTCACTCCTTGAACATTCTATACAGGGGATACTATGAATCAAAACCAACTCAATGGCATTTTACAACAATTTCCATCTGAGTCCTGGTGTGGTGCTGTATGATAATCGTTAGACTGCTAACACCACAAGCCCACCAGCCATTCTTGGAAACTCTATCCAGTGTCACTATGACTCAACGTCACTTTACAACAACAACAACAATTTCCATCTGGTTGAAAGATTCTGCATTTGGTTCTACTGTTATTGACATGTGTCTTGGCATACCTGATATTGCTGGTTAAGTTTCAGACCACTGTAGTGAAGCTAGCATTACAATAAAGAGAGTAACATGAATTTTTGGGTTTCTTAATGTATTAAGGAGCCCTGGTGGATAGTGGGTTATATATTGGGCTGTTAATTGCAAGGTCAGCAGTTTGAATTCACCAGACACTCGCGTAAATATTTACAGCCTCAGAAACCAGATACAGGGTCACTATGAATCAGAACAGACTGAATGGCACATAGCAGCAGCAGTACTACATATAAAAGTTAATTTAAACTATACTATACTCTGGTAATGCAGTGGTTACCAATTGGGCTGCTAAGCTCAGGATCAGCAGTTTGAACCTACCAGCTGCTCCGTGGGAGAAAGATGAGGCTTTCTGCTCCTGTAAAGATTTACAGCTTTGGAAACCCTGTACAGGATGGCTATGAGTCGGAATCGACTCCACAGCACATAACAACAACAACATACTATACTAAACTATATTGTACTCTATTCAGTGTACAATAGCATTATGAAAAGTTTGAAATATTGAGAGAAGCACAAAAATATGGCACAGAGACACAAAGTGAGCACATGCTTTTGGGAAAATGTTGATAATACACTTGCCCATGCAGGGTTGCTACAAACCTCAATTAGTAAAAAATGAAACATCTGCAATGCACAAAAAAACAAGGGACACCTCTAAAAGGGCTATTAAACTAAATTAACTTACAGATGGACCCTAATGGATGTCTCCAGACCATTCAAACTCTATTGAGGGAGTAAACTCATTAAAGGTTCTTTTGGTAAATGCTTTCCTTTGACAATCCTTCATCGTCATCATTAAGCGCCTTCAAGTTTGTTCTGACTCATAGTGACCTGTATAGGGTTTCCAAGGAGTGGCTGGTGAGTCTGAACTGCCAAACTTGCAGTTCAAACTGACCTTTCAGTCCAGTGCTTATCGTACAGGCCACACCAGGACTCCTTAGAACTCCATAAGTTCTCACCTACTGTTTCTAGCTGCCATCGAGTTGGCTCTCTGGCTCAAGGAGACGTCATGTATATCAGAATGAAACATTGTCCAGTCCCACACTATCTCCAAAATCTTTGATATGTTTGAGCCCATTTTTGAAACTGTTGTGGTAATCTAAAACTGACCCTTTACTTTCCCAAACATGATGTCTTTTTCAATGAATTAGACCAATTTCACCTACTATCTCTTATAGTCAGCTCTCTATCCTTATAGAGTAGAAATGCTGTGTGGTAACTGCAAGAGATTAATTCTCTAAAAACAGTGTAATAGTGGGTTTATTTTGGCTTCTCAAAGCCCAAGAAATCCATGGCTATTTGTACAATGGAAAAATATTGATTAAAATGGACTATAAAACATCATCTACAATTTACCTATAGCCTAGAACTGTCACTTCATTGAAACAAACAACAACAAATTATCCATGACCTTCACTGCTATTCATTTATTCATTCAACAAATATCCCTTGAGCTCTTACCCTGTGTTAGACACTGTGCATCTCCTATTGATCTCCACTTTATTATATTGTGTATCTTGATGATAATTTTATTTAGGTTCTCTTAAAGAAGATAAAATCAAACTTCTTAGAATATTGGGGCTATGGAGAAATATTTTAAATTGATATCTTATTGAAAATTGGTCATGAATAGTACCATTCATAAATGTGATTTATGAATGGTACTATTTATGATTATAGATAATAATGAGTGTAATCAGAGTCAGGAATGAACAAATCTTAATTTCTCTTTAGCATTTTTAGGATTATTTCTAAGGTACAGAACATCTCAACAAATTGGATATTTAAGAATCCATGACTATTTTATCTTAAGATCATGAGTCTAAGTGGCTATATTTGCAAGCTACCCTAATGAAAATAAATGAGAAGACTAACAGCTTCCTGAACAAAATAGTTATGCTACATGAATAATTCTGCCTTCACAAATGTGGCAAACAGATAAAAATTAGACCAAATTGAGACAGTTATATACTTTGTTCAACTTTGAAGTCAATGAGGTTAGAATTCAATTACAATACACTCTTCCTTTGTTACATTATGCAAACTTGAAACTAGAGATTATAGTAGTGAAAATCCTTCATGATGTTTTAAGATGTGCATTTTCATTTCTCAAATAGAGCTGATCAATGTAGAAACACAAGAATCAAATCACAAACAGGTTACAGACAACTACACAAATGCGGGGAAAAGCAATGTTTAAAACTGATAGTGAAGAATAAATTATTTCCAATACACACAATTAGATATATACAGGATAATTTAAATCCAAATGGAAATGATTGCTAATGCTGAGTTCTTAAAAATCTCCATCAAAATATACATGTTATCCAATAGAAGGTGATAAAAATAAATTGTGACAAAAAAGCAGAAGGTTGTCTTTCTTCTTATCCTCAAAATTTGGACCAGATCTCAGCAAAATACTCTAGCAAGTGTGAACATTATGGAAAAGTTTAATTCCAAAACCACTTCTCCAAGTTACCAACAGATTTATATTCTTGATGCCTTTTTACATGATCACAAGCCAAGCATGCATGTGATTCCCAAAATCGTGGAAGATACACAGTGAAGTCCTTCCTCCAGTTAAAGTAACTAAGGTATAATTTATTGTTTCTGTCAACTTCCTTTAGATACCTTGCTAGCTCACTGGGAGAGTTATAATCTTCTACATGAATGAATGAATCTGCTGGAATATAATTCTCATAGTTTTCCCTAGATGGTCCCAACACAACAGGTACAGAGCCAGCCAGGAAAGCATTGTAGAGCTTTTCGGTGATGTAATCTTTGTGGATTGAGTTTTCAAAGGAAAGATAAAATTTGCAAGTAGATATGATAGGAATCAAATTTTTACCATTCACATACTCTCCAAATGCTTGCCCATAGGTATGGATTTCAATACTTTTGCTTAGTTCATTGTAATACTTGACTCGCGCATGCTCAGGGTTCCAGTTACTTACAACCCAACACACCAACTTCTCTTTGCTTGGCACTTCAAACACAAAGGGGTTTGTGCTCACCATCAAGAAGCCATAAGGCACTTGGATATCGGAGTCACGGCGATAAGTCAGGGTCAGGTTGAACAGGTGCTCAATACCACTCTTTTGGGGAGTGTGAGTTGGTGATTCCAAATTCATCCAAATCCATTTCTGGAAGGGAGGCCTAGCCTGTTGAGGTAAATTGGTCAGATCCCAGCTAATATCTCGGTGATGAATCAGGACAGCATGAGATTTATTATATAGGGAACGGTCAGTTGTGAGATGGCATCCTTGGATGTTGAACTTTGCTTGGCAAGATGTAAGATCAAAGGTCTGCCCAAATGGCCATACCCAAATCAGAATAGTAGTTTCATTAAAATAATCAGTTTTGGTGGAGAAGAAATTTTTCATTTTCAACACCGAGCTGGCTGACTCCATTGGACTGAAGATCCAGCTGTTGGTGGGCTTGATGTAAATAAGTAGACATGCCATGAAGCAGCTCAGGATAATGCAGACGATTAAAAATGGGCGGAGAATTCCTTTGGATGCAGATGTCATAATTTTTTCTGTGAAATGGAGAGACAGAAAGTTACAAGGATAGGTATAAGTTGGGGATAGCAATGGAGTGATAATCATTAGTACAATTTCAAATAAACAGGTGGTGCTTCCTAAAATATATTTAACCACAAAATCAGCAGCATTTTCTCATCCCATGTTATCAAACCATTGAGAGGAACAAAAACCATCATTCAAGTCAAGAAACCGAACTCTTCTCTGCAAATAATGAGCCAACATATTCATTATTTATATCATCATATCTTCATGCTGAGTTGCATTTTTCAATGCCATCCTTATTTGGTCCTGGTGTGGCACTGTGAGTTAATGCACTGGACTGAAAAATCAGTTTGAACCACAAAGTCAGCAGTTCAAGCTCACCAGCTGCTCCTAGGAAACCCTATACAGGGTCGCTATGGGTCAGAACTGACTCGATAGCACTTAACGACAACATCCTTACTTGTTATGGTCTTATTTGATTGTAGAAAATTAACAACATACACTCTCATAAAAAGCCACAATTAAGATTTTTGGTAAATTTAAACCATCCAATCTATGTGTATTTCCCAATTGAGATATTCATTTATTTATTAGCTTTTTGAGATTGTAATACAATTTTGCTTTCAATAGCATATTAAACATTTTACAGGAAAATGTTGTGTTTTTGTTTTTTGATATAAATAAATCTTCATTGTTCATCAAGGTTATCATGGTAGTCATCTGGTAAGCAATGCCAATTTTTGATATATGTTTTGCAGTATTTTAAAAAATAAATACACTTTCGCAAAAATTAGATAAATTTAAACCCATCAGAGACTTATTCAAAATAAGTTTAGTAATCTTTTAGAAAGCCCAGTCTCTACCAGGATGTCACCAAAAGCTGTACTGGCATTAGAACAGCATTCTCATGGGGCATTAAAAAGAGTTTTTTCTTGGCACTGAAATGCTATTGCTTTTGTTAGGAGACATCAGTTCTTACCTATAGTGTTTCCAAGGCTGTAAATCTTTACAGGAAAAAAAGCCTTGTCTTCTCCCGAGGAGCAACTGGTGGGTTTGAACCAATGACCTTGTGGTTAACACTCCAGTGCTTATGCTATAGAACCACCAATGTAAATCTTTGCAATTGTGAGTAAAAAGGTTTTGACTTTTTTTTTTTTTTAACAACAAGTGTCTTCAAGGTTCTTCCTCTTTTATATCCATGCCTCCTTGTGAATTTGATCACATAGCTATAATGCTTGTATGTAATATATTTGCAAAACTATTTCACGGTCAAATTCTTACTAATGCTGTAAAGTTCATGTTGTTTTTCACAACAAACCAATATAGTGTATCACTTTCAGATTCATTAAAGTTTCCTTTTGGAATCTTGGTCTAAAATGGTGTAGAAATACTAGCTATTTCCCTTCAGAAAGGGAAAACTGTCTTCCCATTAATTACCTACATTTATCTGAATGGTTTAAAATTATGTTTTGGTTGCTATGTGTGCTTTGTTAAAGCATATGTCAGTCTCTTAATAGTAAAACTAATGGTTTTAGTAAAAAAAGTCATTTTGTGAATCAAAATATTCTGAGATTATTTTAGAGCATACATAAAACACAATTATTTGAAGCAAAGAAAGCAGTTTACCATCAAAATTAGTTCTAGACTTGTTCATTCAACAACAAAACCATCTAGATTAAGTATATCCAAAAATGAAATTAACCCTGAAGTTATAGAGAAACCAGGAAGGATTTATGAAGGAAAGCTAAACATCTAGAATTTAGTGAAATTAAGGGTACTTGAGTCCTGGTATAGTGCTGTGGGTTAATGAGTCAGACTGCAAAGCCATTTGAACTGCAAGATCGGCAGTTCAAGCTCACCAGATACTCCTTGGAAACCCTATTCAGGGTTGCTATGGGTCAGAATTGACTCGACGGCACTTAACAGAAAAGCTAAGCTGTACTTATAAGGTAATGTACAATTTTGCATAGTTTTCAGGAAGTTAATTGAAAAGTTGGTTAACTCATGAAGATAGAAAAAGAATATTTGTACAAAGTTAAAGAAATAAGAAAAAGAAAATTAAGATAAGGACAGAAATTGCAATTGACAGCAAAATTTTGAGATGATTGGTAATATCAAAAGTTTAAAAATTACCAAGGCAAAGATAATCAGGAAAAAGCAATTGAAGTTGAAAAT